GTGGTTACAAGTTGTATGCCAATCAGGCAATAAAATCTATACAATAGTGCTTATCCGTGTTGCTACAAGTGCCATATTAATTAGTTTGTTTACAAAGTGGGACTGCGTTTTATCTGGGCATGGATACAGCACATGCACGGTGCGTCAGTGCTTCCTCGACCAATCAGAGTTCGATTCTCTTATGATTGGTCAGTACGGCTTTTTGACAAAACATGCGCCTGAATCTCACATTATGAGTGGGTTTGTTGTCAATCCCTGTGATTTGTCCCCAAACCACTTGGAATTATTAATTCACCGCGGTAGGTTATACACTTTCACTTGCAATACACCTTGTGCTTTTATCTTTATGCCCAGGACATTTTTTGTCTGTCTTCTCGCATTCCAACGACATCTGAGTTTATTTATTTTCAAGTTTGATGCCACTCCTTGTTTGCATTTCTTTATGGGGGAAAATGAGTAAGGGTAAAAGAACACGTGTCATTTTAAAAGTAGGGAGCTAAGTAAGGCTCTAGCTGTGGTGATGGTGGTAGTAGTGGTTCAAGCGCCATTTATAATGGATCCACTTTCGAAGGCATTGCATTTTGAGACGATAAGCCTACTTTCGTGATGTCAGTCTTTGCACACCGGTGTCAGACCACCTTCAGTGAGATCTATGTGACTTTGGCCTATCGAAAGGTGGCGGCTTTTTTCAGGTGCGCTATCACACTTTCACATCAATTCAATGAAGGGCGCAATTTTATCGGTTAAATTATTATTTAATTGAAAAAAGCCTAACCCCAGTTGTAAGTTGCTCTCCCAAATATCTCCATTTGTGATCTAGAAGGCACATCAAAAGGCTGCTACTGCTGCTGCTTCTCAAAAAGAGCCAAATTCGTCCACCAAGTGCCAGGCTCCACTAGCCTAATTTTGTTAGGCAAAATAATTAACTCTTTCTCTTTTCCTTCGCCTTTCCCTTCTTCTTCATGAGCTCCTCATAAAAGTGAGAATGATTTGCCCAACCAATTAGTGCTTTCTTGGCTCCAAGCCCCCATTCGGTCCGGTTTGTTGGCTGGACTCACCACTGAAAGTTACTGGCAAAACTTGTTTGCATCAACAACTTCTTTTTCGTTCGTCTGCCCACCCCAACAACAACAGAGCTGTGATGTGATTAAATTCCTTTCCTCACTTCTTCCTCTTTTTTTAAATATTTAAAGAAGGCTTCCTTTAGGGGAGGAAGAGAGAGAGAGAGAGAGATTATGATGGTTTAATGCTTCGGTTTCCATAATTAATGTGGCCTCCAAATTCGCATTAATTGGATGAGAACTAGGTTGGTTTGGGTGGAGGGACGACTTTGCAGGCTCCACTGACCTCGGAGCAAAAATAGTGTCCTTTCAGTCGTCTCGCTTCGATGGTCTCAAAAAGTGGGCAGAACAAAGTATTTGCCTCCAGTATACTGCTGGTGATAGTGTCTCAAGAGCTTGTTTGCCTCTCACCGTCAAGACGACGACAACGACGCCTTAAGGCTGAATTGGTGGAAATCTTCTCTCCTCCCGCTTCGTAAATGATGGTAGTCTTGATGCTATTAGCTAATCGTGAACAAGTGAATGTCTCAGGGCCATCTGACGACCACCTATTTCCTTATATCGGTGGAAACTGCCAGTCCAACGTGGAAGGCAGGCTGTACGACCTGAAAAAGGTGTGGAGACTTCAATACGTCGAAAATGCACCTTAAGGCTTCCACTGTTCAGGTCAGGTAGAAACCAACGATTCTCAACACGAAGGCTTGAACAAACAGATTGAAAGACTTTATGAACTTTTACTGATTGTAGAAAGACTTTTAAAGAGCCTTTATAACAGATGTTTGCAAGTTTATTTACTTAAGCACATCATTAATGAGTGCCAAAAAAATAATAGGAGGTGGAACTTATGCACGTGACTAACTTTTTGCACCACAAAGCAGGATAGCATTCTGCTCCTCCCTGTTCACTAACTCCAGCACGTTTCCTCCTCATCGGTAAAATGGATTAACAGTTGAACTTTGTTTATGCTCTTGTGCTCCTTGGTCAAGCGTAAAGTGGTAGAGAATAGTTGCAACCTTGTTTGGTAGGAGAACAAGGTGTTTACTACAGATTTAGGAGGAAACAATTGATCCTAAGTTTTGAAATAGTGCCTGTTTAGTGATCAAGTTAGTCAGTGTTAATTTAAAATCATTGCTTTTCGCTCATTTAATTGAGTGCATTTTCATTAAAAAAACTTCAATTTACCTGCAAGTACTTTCTTCCACAAAGTCTTCAAGTGAAGCACTTTTCGTTGCTGTTCGACAAATTATACCACCAATTAGAGCCCTGATAACTGATTAACCAATAGAAATGAAGCTTTTGAAAGTAATGTAACGAATCAGCTTTAAGAACGTTTGATAAGCCTGAAACGATTGGTTATTTTAAATACTTTTATGTATGCAATATCCATCATTGTTACGTGAATTTAAGCACTATCAACAATTAATGATTTCATAGTCGTATCCGTAAAGACGGAAATGTGGTTGCAAGATAAGGAAGTCGATTTTAACGGCTCAGAACCAGACAAGGGAACAAGGAGCACCTAGAACTATGTCGAAAAAGAGGTTTCCCTTTTAATGGCTCCTTTGAGAAGCCGACCCTTCTTATTATTTATTCAGTGATTAATCATACGTTAAGAAAATCTCATTCTGGAATGTTTAGAGGACATCCTAACTGATTTGAGGTCTTCTGCCTTGACTCACATCGCCTTTCTACATGCAGAGTTACCTTACGAATAACAAATGGCTAGGGCGAAGGAGTTGGCTAACAAAGCGTCCTAAACCTAAATGAATATTAGGCACAAAGCCCACTGTAAGTCTTCTGTCTCATCAAGAATTCGCCAAGAATAAACTGCAATTGGTTGTGTGTTTGTAAAGCCGAAGGCTAGTCTTCGATGCCAAAATGATTACACCTTGCGCAACTGGAAAATGGAAGGGGTAGGAAAGCCTTCCAACTCTGTGTTGGCGTTTAACTCCAATTTCATTTTATGAGTTGTTGACAAAAATTAAGAGGCGAAATTGCTACTCCGTGACAAATCGCTGACATGCAAAAGCGATAAAAAATTAATTATTTGATAGTAATGCAGATTATTATTATTACTACCTTTTTAAAGTGTTTATTATCAAAAATACTTAAGCAAAAGCTGTGCAGAAAGGTCAGTACTAGAAGGGGATGGACGAGAACGCCTTCCAAAGCCGTGCAAGGAATGTGGACATGAAAAGGCTCATCCATTGGTTTAACATTTTGTGTGACATTGACACTCTCATGACAGGTCAGAGGAAGGAAAAGTGGATCATGAAGGAGGTAGGCCTGAGATGATACCGTAGTGGAAGCGGATGTGAAGTTAAGAACAAGTGAACGGTGGAAGGAGGTCGCATTGATAAGGCAATTAGCGCGCGTCTCCTCCTCCTCCTCCTCCTCCCTTCCCCGTACCCATCCGTCGTCCTCTACGCATTGATCTCTCTCAAATTCACCCTTTCGAATTTAAGTGCCAGTCATCATTCGGTGTGGCGTATGGCTGGAAAAGTGGCAAGGCTTTGGGTAATTAGCAAACCGAATGCCAATCAGCTAATTCGAGAGCGCAGCCACCGTTTTGTAAGGTGATCGGTTACCATGGATTTGGGAGGACCACTTGGAAGACACACTGTGGGGCAATAAGCGACACCAATGAGTGAGAAAAATCTCAAGCACAGAAGTAGAAAAAAAGCGGATTCGAGAGCTCTTTTCACCTCTAACCATTCGGGTCTCCATCGTTGAGTGGCACTGTAAGGCACTTGTTGCCAGGTCTTTCAATATTGCGTGCTTAGAGGTCTCTTACAAGTGGTCATACGACTGGAAGACAATATTTTGCAATTATTTACTTGTCACAGATGCGGCTCTGAAGAGTTGAATGCCATCGGATGAGCCACATCCACCTCTACCAATGGCATGATGCAGGACTACCATCAATATCGTCGTTTCAATTTTCACTACTACCACCATCATCACCACCTCCTCTTCCTCCTCCTCGTCCTGTCAATGTTGCATTTGACAAGCACAGCCCCCACCTCTATCAGCGGTGCCTCAACAGAGCTGCTACAGTTGCAGGGTCCACGAAACACCTCAGTAGAGCGTGGTGCTACGGCACGACTTCGATGCCACCTTCTAGTTGCTGCGACGACCACGACAACAACACCCTCCCATACCCCTCATTCCATCGCCACGCTTCGATTTATTCCTTGGCGAGCATCAGCCAATCAACGCCTCAGTGTTCAATGGAACATTGATGGATTCGGTTTTACGAATGAGAGTCTTGTGGAGAGCTACGGGGAACGGTACTTCATGCCAGGACCACTCAATGAAGGTGAGTGCCTCAGCGGCCACCTCTTCGGGATGGGCTGAGGCATCAGGGGAGCTGGTAATAAACTTAAAAATGTTTCCTCCATCAAATACTCACTAGTCACATGCTTAGTAGACCTTTGTAAAGATTTGTGAAAGTAGGAAAGTGTTTATCAACCTGCTGAGGCGGTGGAAGGCACCCTCACCTCTCAAAGTAGGCAGCAGCGCAGTGAGCCTATTTTGTATGCCAGTGCGAGGTGATCGGAAAAAGGCGACAAAATTTAAATGAAGTGAATAAATTAGGAGGATGATGGTCGGTGTTTGTAAGCTTCCATTGGTTGGTGTGTGGAATGTTGCTTTTGGCTTCTCAACTTGAGTAACACAAGCACACTGAGCTTTATAGCTGTTCCAGACGCCGCAAAAGTGTGTCTCCAGCAGGAGACAGTAATTGGGAGGTGTTCTCGATGCGGGGACAGTTATTTCGTCCATTCTTTGGGTGATGAGACCGTTTGGATGAGTCGCCCTTAGGAGGGAAGCTCCAAGTTGAGGGAAGAGGCGGAATTCGGAGGTTAAACTGCACCGCATTGTCGCGTAGGCACTGACGGACCAATGACCGAGTGATCAAGGAGAGTTGAAATTCCCCCACGCAAAAAGCATTATTCTTTCCGTACTTTTATCTGCCTAGTAATTCTCCGAGTATAAATTATTCTCCCATCTCGTGCATTCACAATGCTTGGCACTGCTCATTGCACTTCGGCTTGGTCTTGCGCCCTTCTCTGTGTCACTGTCACGTGCCAAATGGCGTTTTTGAAGGGTTCTGCTTCGCGATTTCCTCTGTTCCGTCCCTTCCACAGCTGCAATAGTTAATGTTCACTTACTTCACGCCTGGACACTTCCCTAAACATTCCGAGGACTTTCCATCTGCATGCATCATTATCAGGAGCGCTTGACGATCGTCGATCATTTTTACCTGTCATTGCGTTATCCTACAGTTAAGCCAGTTCATTGCAGGTTGAAGAATGTCTTAACAAAACACAAGTGGGCGGCGGCCTTGAAACCGCCCACACATGAGAGAACAAGAACTGAGTTGTTAAGGTTGTGTCAGAAATTTCAACCTCATCCATTCAAACAGTTCACATGAAGTCACCTGACGACCTGATCAAGCATAAATAAAGGCGAATGCTCTTTCAGTGCCTTCATTACACTTTAGCTGCATTTTATTATTTTGCCTCTACTCGTTCAAATACTCCTCAATTGTATCCTCACTGCTTTGATAGTTTTTTTTTTGCCATCCAATCTAAGTTGTTACTCCATTTTATGGCTATTCTTCTGTTGGCACTCTATTGCGTTCTGCGTAAATACCCCATCCTTCATTCCTCATCGTAACATTTCTGCAGAAGCGCAAATTTTCAAACCGCCAGTGAAGCTTTGGGCTGCTGGCAATTCCTTTCATCACTAAATGCAACCGTTCATTCATTTCAAGGAAGGGGCTGGGAAAATCCTCGCACTTCTTGCTTTCCCTTTCCTCCATTTTAGTCTGCATGCTTTTGGTTCTTCACATTATTACAAAACATGATAAAAGACTTTGCATTATGAAGGGTTGGTCCACACGATTTTGTTTCATTACTTAGACTTTTGTAGACCTCGATTGAATTGGAACCTACTGAAATCCTCAAATAAGTAGTGCGTGACTTCACGCCATTAGTAAAGTGAGTGTAGAGTAAAACAGAGAAGGTGAAAAGGCCGTTTCCATATATGAGTGTCACATATTTATGGCAAATTTTGTGCTGGTCGCCAATTTACTCAAGATGGATGATTTTGTTCTTTGTTAGGAGGCAAAATGAATCGCCGCCTAGCAGCCCCGTCCAAGTGGTCATATTTGCGTGACAAATAATGCATTGCCACGCAAACATGCATCGCTATTGCCTTCTCACAGATTTTATTATGATAAAGCAAAATATTGCCATCACGGAGGGAAAAAACGGAATCCATGGTGGGTGTTAACCATGGTTGGTCGATTAATTGCCTTGGAATATGTACATAGGCTCTTAGTCGGCCGTAAGACCCTCCAAAGCGAAGTGTAATTGATGCTATTTTGCATTCCCTCCTTCTACTTCCCTACATTGAGAAGGAGACGATAACATTCTGGTGGAATTTTTTAAACTAGCCGCATTTCATTGATAAATTCAAGGCTTACTTTCCGTCTTCCCTCCTCCGCCTCCCGCTTGGCTACCCAAAAGTCGATGACATCCGTCATGTCGCGGCGGTATTTTAACCGTTCATCAAACACCCAACAAGCTCATTCAACTTAATGTAAATAAAAGACATTACAAGTGACGTACAGGTATTGCTTCAAGCCCAAATTTTCAATTATTTTGGACTTGCCACATATTGAGGTGCAGTATTTGTATAAACTTGGCTTGAGATACGCAACAATGCTTCTTTGTCCCGCAAAGTGATCATAAATTAGTTTTTTTTATGGTTTTTTTTTCATTGACTTTAATTCCCAACAGTTTTGACGGGCTACTTTATGCTCCGTTCAAAGACTGGCCAAGGTAAAATTATGAGGCTTGGAGCGAACTTGAAGGTTGAGTGACTCCCTCTTCCTCTGTCACCTCGGCCATCATAATCTTAGGAGGGAGGGAGAGGAGGAATTGTGGCCTGTGGCCATGGATAGCGTCGGCGAAGATGACCTCTCAGTCATAAGGTTCGGTGGTATGACTCAGTCCATTTAACCATCATTTGAACCTCCCTCTGCCAACTCCCTCTTCATTCGAAAAGATCTTGAAAGTTATCTTTTAATATTTGCATAATTAATCACCTCCTTCCGTCTTACATGCGCCTAGTAGACACTTAACTCCTTAAAGTGGGGATTAGATGGTGAGGAGCGTCCGATCATCCGCTCAAGTGTTGGTCGTACGTCGAAGAAATCTTATTCTCCTCCTCCTCCTCTGAGCACGCGATTGAGGGGAGAGGAGGGGAGTCACTGACAGGCATTTATGCCTAGCATTGCGCATAATTTGGGGGTTTAGTGGTCCACAAGTAACAGAAAGTCGTAAAAAAAAGGGGATTGAGTGAAGAGGCCTTGAGGCTAGGGTGCAGGTGCTCTGACAATATCAAAGGTTGCCCTCGCCAGAGTCACGAGTGGATAAGCTGAAGTCGGAGCTACGAGGCAGCGAGTAATCGACTTTTACACTAATTCATGCATTTTCCTTCGCTTTTGCCATTTTTTGCCACTGTCAGCACCACTCACTCGTCCAACCCGATCCCATTCCACCTACCCACGGCACGGGACAGTTAATGGGGCCAAAATCCTACTCCCCAGCGTCTTCATCCGAGCCTCAAGATCGGAGCCATTTGTGTAGCTCCAATTGTGTTGCTCAGCAATGCTTATTAGACTAAAATGACTGCCTCGAAGTGGATGTGACGACTTTGACAGCTTCTCACTGCTGACTGGGTGGAGGAAGGGAGGGAGAGAGGGTGAGGGCGAGGGCAAGAGGCATAAAGAGAGATAGGGAGAGCGAGAGAGTTCGCGTCCATTCAAATATGCATAGCAAATGTCGTCTCTTGGTGATGTTATGATAGCGAGATCTGACAAGAGACCTGAGGTTGTCCTTCCTGCCTCCAGATTGCATTAATCTGACCACAGCACAATGCCTTGAATACCAATGCATTCACTTTACATATACCTTGACAACCTCGCAATCCATTGGGACAAAAGGTGAATTATTTACTGTCAAAGTAATTGGGACAGATTGAAAGATGAGATGTTTGAAGGAGGGGAGAAGTTGATCAAGTTGTGCTGGTAGACATCGATGACGATGGCGACGATACCGTCACCGATCCACACAACGGTACTTGAAACTTTTTGCCTTGTCACCGAAAGCACTCCTTCGCTGGCATGTTGGAGAGGGGAGAGTGGAAGGCGGTGAGGGTGAGGAGAGATCCAATTTGGTGATAAAACTGTTACACAGGCATTGGAGAGATTACTGGCCCTCCTCTCACCCACCTCAATGACAAAATGGGGAAGGAAATAAAGAGAGAAATAAAATCAACTCGCAGCATTTCGGGTTTGAGGGGAGAGTTGTGATATGCAATTTGTATGAAGAGAAGGAAAAAAAAATATGCGGAAATGGGAGAAGGTTGGGGCTGACCATCGTTACTCCTTCCCACCCTCTTGAGGGCAAAGACAGGAGAAAGCAGTCCTTTTTTTCCCACTTGAGAGATGGGATCGGTGTGTTGTGAGATCGGTTGACCGTGTCCTCACCACGTCGATGCCGCCGAGAGTGTAAAGCGAGAAACTCAAAAAAAAAATGTGAGTACTTACGAGTGTGGGACTGTGAATGGAGGAGTCGGATTTTACTTGACTGCTGTCTCCCTCCTCTCTTCCCTCTGCGTACGTGACCGTGAAGGTCATCGTGACCTCCACGGCAAGGCGAGCCTGTCGTCGGGAGAGTGGGTTGACAGCAGCTCTTCCGCTTGGTTGCGTCATTCTCTCAAATCCAAGTTGGAAAGCTGCCAGTAACTAAGTGGGAAGAAAAAAACAATCATCAAACAAACTCTTCAAACCGATA